CCGGGCGGCATGGCCGCAGCATGCTCCGGCGGGCTGGGCCGGGCGGCCACAGCCTGCTCTGTGGGGCAGGGCTGGGCGGCCACAGCCTGCTCTGTGGGGCAGGGCTGAGTGGCACTGCTGCAGCCTGCCAGCCCAGGAGCTGCAGCTGCTTTGGAGGCTGGGGGGAGAGCAGCGTGGCCAGAAGCGGAGAGACTCTGGCCCCGCCTCTTCCCTTCTGTCTCTGCTGGCTGCGCTGCCTCTCCTTGTTCCCTCTGTTGGGGGGAGGGGCTGTGTCCCACCTCTCCCTCTCTATACCCGTTCATAAGCCGACCCCCTTCTCTGGTGCTTCCCTTTTTTACTAAAAAAAATTCAGCTTATGAACGAGTATATATGGTATGTTTTCCTCGTGGAGAGCTTTCTGCCCTGTAGTCGAATATTTTGATGCAATAGTGAACAGTCATACCATACAACCAGTCAACATCCAGGCTGTCAGATGCAGAAATCTCAGGTCTGGATGAACTATTTGGTTCTGTGCTATTATGCCTGGACTGTATTTTTCTTGGTTCTATGCTATTATGTCTAGATTGTCTAGAAGTGCCTTCCGAAGCTGAGTAGACATTCTGAGATCATGTTAAACAGAACTCTCTCCGCTAATAAGGAACAATCAGGATGATCAGTGTGGCTGCATCCCATCTGATATGCCATATCACCCTGGGTATCAGGGGAATCTATGGTAATGCATACATGAGACCCTGATCCCGTGGTATGAAAAAGATATCCTGTCCTGCAAGGATCTCCGGTGCATGACTCCCTGGGGCACAAGATTTAGTGTTGGTGGCAAACAAGTCTGTAATGGGATTTCCTCACTGGTGAAATATTGTGGTGATAGAATTCTTCAGAGACCATTCATGGTTGCTGATGGATTGTGTGCTAAGATGGAGAGCTACTGGAGTAATCCTGTGTTGTTGGCATTACGTATATAACTTGATTACCTCCTGGCATCTCCTTGCTTGTTACATAATTCATTGCAGATGTGTTGTATGTGAAAATCTGCATAGTGGATGTGACATTACCCAGTCTGGACTGGTGGACAACTATGTCCCTTCAATTCTCCAAACTGGGGTGCCTTTTACACTGCTTCACTGTGAAAGCAACCACTCCTGTCTTGCTCTCTCAGCCTCCAGCATGTAAATCACTCCCAACTACACTGTATGAGTGCTATAGCCAGTCACTCATGAATTACACTGCAGGGAAACACCAGCAAATTCCCAGTCCCAGACTTTCCCCCAGAAACGTGCATCTTGTACACCTCTATCCCGATATAATGCTGTCCCCTCAGGAGCCAAAAAATCTTACCGCGTTATAGGTGAAACCGCGTTATATCAAACTTGCTTTGATCCGCCGGAGCGTGCAGCCCTGCTCCCCCAGAGCGCTGCTTTACCGCGTTATATACAAATTAATGTTATATCGGGTCGCGTTATATCGGGGTAGAGGTGTACTGTCCAGAACCCTCCTAGACACTACAAACTCGTATAAAGTCTGTCATTTCATTAATAGAAAGTGATTTGCACAAATCTTATCCCAAACAGAGTTTCCCAAACACTTCAATCCAAACACACTGGTTTAGATAAAACAAATGTATTAACTACAGAAAGATAGATTTTAAGTAACTACAAGTAATGAGGCATACAAGTCAGAATTGGTTACAAGGAAATAAATGGTAAAACGCAACTGACTTAACAAGCTAAGTGAATACCAAGCAAAGGTCTCTCTCATCCCATGTTCCAGCAGTCTTACTGGCTGAATCTCTTTTAGTCAGGATGTCTCCCCTAGTCCAATACTGCTTCCTTTATTCTTCAGATGATGATGATGCCAGGGGCAGAGCGCAAGGGAGAGATGATTTGCAGCTTCTGCCCTCTCGTTTTATAGCCCTTTCTTTTGCGCAAGAATCATCTCCAGCTGATGTTCAGGAGACAGCTGTGTGGCCAGGACCTTAAGCTGCTTCTTTGTCAAAACGTAGATTTTTTTTTTTTTTTTGCCCACACCCTCTCTCCTGCCAAAGAGTAGCCACTTAAGGTGGTGGTCCACTGATCTAGTTGACACCTAGCTGAGGCACTGGCTAACCTTTTATCTCTGGGGAACTTGTTTCTGACTGCCCTCCAGAACATGTTGGGACATTTCTTCATAATTTTATATAGTAGAATCTTACATCTTTACATACAATGTTGCCACACATTTTACCAGGACAATTATGATCAGCAAATCATGAGTTTTCAAATGATATCTTACACAGTATGCTTTGTACAAAATTTAACAGTTTTGTAAAAGGGGTGAACATATAGGTACAGAGGGTCACGGTGGAATGCTGTAGAACAAATTGGAATGCTATGCAAACTAATCTGATCACTCAAATTCTAGAACATTTATATGTAGAGTCATGTACTTTTGGGACTACTGGGGGGTAGTCCAGGTGTGCATCTGTCTCTCTGATGAATTGGCGTTCAGCATCTTTATAGGAGGTGGTGTGAAGAGAGGTGCTCCCTTGTGCACATTGGTGGGGTCTGACCACCAGTGCAATGACAGCATATGAGCTGGGACTACAACTCTCATACCCTCATTTGATGCCTCTTGGAGGTGATACACTGATCTTAGTCAACTTTGTAATGGACGTAGGTGAAGTCTGGCTATGGGCGAGCTGACATGTGACCTAGACATCTGAGGCAAATTCTTACTGTAGTTGATGGATTCATTTTGATATTGGTGAGGGTCATCTGGAGAGCAAAATCTCTCCTTGGGAAAATGCGTGTTCTCCAATTTGGATTCAGTTAAGGTTCCTACTAAGTCTTGTATGAGATATGGTGAATTATGAAAAATTATGAGACCCAATTGCTTGAACAGGTGAAGGACATTTCAATGCTGTGGCAACTTACTGATGAGATCTACCTTTGATCAGCCCATCATCTAGATATAGGTAGACACATGCCTTGTCTCAAGTGAGCTGCCACCACAGTGAAAACTCTTGGTGATGTGGAGAGACCAAACGGTAGCACCATATACTAGTAATGATTGGGTCCTACTGTGTACCACAGATACTTTGAGGGCCAGATGGATTGGAATATGCAAATGCATGTCTTGGAGGTCAACAGCCACAAACCAGCCTTGAGCAGTATGAAAAGGCAGGATGGAGGCAAATGTTACTATCCTGAATTTGACACAATGTATATATTTGTAGTTTTGTCAGGTCTAGAACAGGACAAAGAACCCCATTCATTTTCAGAATAAAGAAATATCAGGAATAGAAGCCTCTTCCCTTGTACTCCAGATATAACTCGTCTACAACTTCTAGGTCAGTGGTTTTCAAACTTTTTGCATTGGTGACCCCTTTCACACAAGCAGCCCAAGTGTGATCCCCCCTTATAAATTAAAAATGGGGATGGGGTAATTTAATTTAATGGGGGCTTGGGGCTATCAGCCCCACAGAGCTGACAGCTTGCGACCCCTATGTAACCACACTGCGACCCCCTAAGGGGTAATGACCCCCAGTTTAAGAACCCTTGTTCGAGGTGAAGCAGGGAAGCCACTTTTAGCTAATTTTTTTTTATGAGAAAGGTCCCTAAAGACGGACTGGGAAGGGATTGGGGAGGAAGCAAGGACTGAAACTGGATGGGATATCCATGGGAAACAACTTCCAGCACCCATCTGTCATTTGTTGCTCTAGTCCAAACCTGATGGAAGAAAGAAAACTGGCATCTGAAGACAAGGTTTGGGGATAGTTCATCTGATGCGTGTGTTGGCTTAATTCTTGTGTCAACCAACTGCCAAGAAGCAGATGCAGAATGAACAAAGGATGATGGCTTCCTTTGAAATAATCTTGATTTCTTGGTAGATGAGTACTCAGAAGACCCTTGTTAAGTGTAGCTGGATGCCTTCTGTTTAGTTTGCCATTGGTATTTAAAGGGCTTGCAATCTGCCCAAAGGTGCAGATGTCCAGTAAGTGAAGTGTGGCCCTGGAGTCCTCTGGGGACTAGAACACCTCATTGGACTGTGTGTTGAATGAGTCAGTACCTGCAAAGGGCAAGTCCTCAATTGTATTCTGCATCTCCCTATGAATGCCGGAGACCTGTAATCACAATGTTCTGTGTATGATTACCACAATGGCCATCGACCTACCTGCCATGTCTGAGGCATCCATGGTTTCATAGAGATCGCTTCACCACTAGCGAATTTAAGCAATAATGGCTTTTCTACAAGTAAGCCTTTCTTCCAAAGAGATCTAATTTCTTTGGGTCCTTGTATTTAGGAGTGACCTTGGATTGCAGATTAGAGAAATCATTAATAAATCTAGTGTTGGGGGAGTGGGGTACTATAATTCAAACCCCTTTAGAAGTACTTGATACTTTTCTGTTCCTTTAGCAGTTGGAGGCAGTGTTGCTGGTGCACGCCATAGGGTTTCGGTTCTAAGATGTCTTGTAATGCATGTCTAGCAGGAGCAGAAGAATGCGCTCTATCACTAAGGTCTTTATCTCAAGGGTATTAACTATATGAAAGAACAACTCTGGAAGGCTTTATAATCATCTGAAGCTGATACAGGAGCCAAAGAGACCATCTCACTGGAAGATAATGATAGGTTTTCTGGCAGGAGATGAAGAGCATGGTTCAGGAGGCTCAAGACCTGCCTGTTCCACCTCTGCAAGCTGTTCTTGTTCCTCTCTGCCTCCAGACAGAGGCCTGGACAGCATGACCTTCTGCATTTTCTTGAATGGTAAGAGGGAGACAGAATCCTGGGTGCTTTAAATGGAGGTCCTGAGTATGCCCAGTATGGTCAAGGTGGAGCACTGCAGGGATGAAGCTGGTTCTGGTGACTTGGCTATTGCCATGTCTGAGGCAGATGAGTCAGGGCGCTGAAGTGAGTGGACCCTGGTTTGTAGAGAGGCCTTTTCCTGATGTGTGTGAACAGAGGGGAAAAGGTTCCCTGCTGGAAAGTGAAAAGAAGCCATGTCCCAGTGATGGAGAAGACAACTAGGCTTCCTCCAAATGCAACACATCTTTGAGGCCATGTCAGCACTGTGAGGACAAAGGTACATGCCAGTGCCAAATATAGTGTCATCAGTTCGAAGTGAGGTGCTAGGGACATTATGTCCTCTAACATTAGATCAGCTGGTACTGTTAATGTTTCTTTTGTTAGTTCTGATGCCAGCAGCTGGTGGTCACCAGCATTATCTGGCAGAGACACTGAGGTTGATTTAAACCCCTTTGGTACAAATAGTTTCAGGCAAATATCCCTGATTTTCTTGTCCTGATCATAAAGGAATGTTATACTGAGCAGCAGCCTGGCACATGGCTCTGACTGAGACGAAAAAAAGCAACAACTATGGCCTTGCATACATGGAATGAGTGTCACAGGATGGGCCTGGGTAAAGCCCAAGGGCTTTCAATCAGCCATTTTAAGTCAAGGAAGGGGTACAAAGTGCTGAGGCAAAATCTTATATTTATTTTTGCACCAATAAAACAAACAAGAGAGGGAATTAAATGGGAATTAACTGACTATGAGAAACAGATTCTAGTACTAGGTAGCAGGCAGACACTACTTGTTTTGTCTCCTTGCCATAGGCAGTAAACGGGTACTGAAGGTCATTTGCAGATACTTTGCCCTTTATGCTCTTAGGGGCAGGGGGCATGCACAGTGCAGATTAGCCCAACAGACACTGCAATTCAAACATTCTCATCTTCCACCCGTGATGTACAAGTGTAGCTAGAGTAGGATACACACAGACACCTACTTGAAGGACTATTTCCCTTCTGTCACTGTTTTCTCTCAGGAAAATTCTAGCAGGCTGCCAAAATAACCAAACTTGAACATTTTAAAGACTTTGGCCCACCTCCCTGCCAAAGCAGCAGCAGTGTCACCACCATACACCAGGAATGCCTGGGAGCTATTGGAGAAGTAGCTAGATTGGAGAGTGGGGGAAGGAGAAGAGGAGCTAGGTTCCCTCTCCTTCTCCCTCCACCCCCTGCTACAACACATGGCTCCAGTAGCTCACCCCCCTAATGGGGGGTACATGGGGTAGGAAATCCTCTACAAAAAAAAAACCACATCCACACCATTTCTGGGCTTCCCTCAACTACTCATCCAGATCCAGCACATGATAACAACCACCATCCTCCCTCAGTTTTAATAGATTTCTTTTTCTGTAGCTGGCATACTTAGTTCTGCAGCTCAAGTGGCAGAAGTCTGTGCTTCAACACTGAAAGCTGAGAATTCAAGCCCAATTGATGATGCATGATGAGGGAGTTAGAGCTGTACATTAGAGAATTTATCATCTTCTTCCTTTAAAAAAAGCCTATAAAGTCACATACACAAAACTACATTAAAACAATGCTACTCGAATTTCAAAGTCAAGCACTGAAAAGTTAGGCAATGCCAAATTCTCTATTGCCCATACAACCCTAACTTACCTCCTTTGTCCATATGATCATTTAATAAAAACCACTGTCACATTTTTCTTTCCTCATTCAGTGTAGAACATGGATACATGAGAGGGCGGAATTCAGGGTGTATAGGAAACACTATCACAGTTGCCTAATTCTTGAGTGCTTGACATTGAATCTAAATAACACTCTTTAAAATAATGTTTGACATTATATACTTAATAAATGTTTGGAGTGTGAAGCATAACTCTGTAGCAAGAAACAGATTCAGTGGCAAGTTGTCCAGTGCAGAATAAACAGCTTATAAGCAAGGCTACGTTTTAGTCACAGGTATTTTCAGTAAAAGTCATGGACAGGTCACGGGCAGTAAACAAAAAATCACAGCCCATGACTTGTCCATGACTTTTACTATATACACCTGACTAAAAACTGGGGGGGGGGGCACACATGGCCCAGGACCCTTGATGGAGGTGGTGGGGGGTTGACAGGACCATCAGGCTCCCTACCTGGCTCCACACCTCTCCCCTCAGCAGCAGCAGAGTTTGGGTGTGGGAGGGGGTAGGGACATGCAAGGGGGTGAGGTGGGGTTCTGGGCAGCACTTATCTGGGGGGCTCCCCAGAAGCAGCAACATTCCCCTTGCTCAGCTGCTAGGCAGAGGCATGGTTGCCTCCGCCTGCAGGCACTGCCCCCACAACTCCCATTGGCCACAGTTCCCAGCCAACGGCAGAGCTGCCTGGCCATGCCTCCGCCTAGCAAGGGGGTTGTCACAACTTCTGGGGAGCCCCCCAAGTAAGTGCCACCGAGTCCGCCTAACCCCATCATGTGCCCCAACCTCCTCCCATACCCAAATTCTGCTGCGGGGGAGAGGAGGAGTGGGGACGACGCGGTGGCCAGAGAATGCCCCAGCTGCAGAAGTCACAGACTCCATGACAAACCCACAGCATTATTTATAAGTCCCTGACAAACCATTAACACTGGACCACAGCAGGGGCCTAGGCAGCCCCCTGCTCCCTAACCATGCCCCCCCACACACCTCTCTTCCCCACCAGCTACATTCCTTTCATATGCTCCTTCCTTTGCCACCCCCCTTCCAGTAATGCGCCAGGGCTGACTTTGCCATGCCTCAGCAGGCCATCCACTGATGGCTTCCAGTGCATGCAGACAGTGCCGGTGCTAGCCCACTGGGGGCTCTAAGCAGGAATATTTGGGGGAGGCCCTCCACACACAACACACACTAATAATTAACAGGGGGCTCCCTTGAGCTGCTTGGTGCTCTAAGCAATTGCTTAGTCTGCTTATGTTTAGCAGAGGCTTCGCATACAGAGCCCCTGGTTCATTCAATGAGACAGGCCTGGACTTCACCTAAAACTTAGGTCAACCTAGTTATACCGCTCAGGGCCGTGAACAGTGTCGCCCCTTCCCTGGCTGTAACAAGTACCTACACCACAGCTGTGCCATGCAGCGCAGACCCCCCTCAGGCGGTAGCAGTACAGCTGCTGGTACCTGCCCTTTTCACGGCCCCTGCAACACAGCCAAGGGCAGGTACCAGCGTCGCAGCTGCCGGCGGCGGGTCGGGCACAGAGGGGCTCTGAGGTTCGCGGGCCGGCGGAGCGGGGCCAGGCAGCTCCCAGCGTGCGCGCTCCAGGGACCCAGCCCACAGCAGCCACGTCTCCCAGGCCGGGGGTCGCGGCCAGGAGGCCGAGGAGGTTTGAGTTCGGAGCCTGGCAGCGCCAGCCCCGCGCGGCCGGACCCCGAGCGCGCGGGCAGCGAGACCCTAGCCCGGGGCGACAGCAGTTCGGTGGCCACAGCAACCCCCTGCTCCTACTTCCCCTCGCCGGGGGCAACTCACCATGTTACTCCCCCGCCCGGCACCGGAACAGGCGGCTCCCACCCTCCCTGGGGTCGGAAGAGGCGGATCCACCAATTGCCATGGTGAAAAAAAGGGGGAGGAGCAATTTCACTCCCCCCCCCCCGTCGGAACCGGAAGTGACGCATATACGTCAGACGGGACGGCGCATAGGCCGCCAGCCGTTCTCATCAGAGGAGAGGGTAAATGCGCATGCGTCTGTCTCGAGAACGTGATCTCCTAACAGGGCTCGAGGGCGGCGGCGTGGCCGCGCGGGGCGAGCAACTGACGCCTACCACACTACTCCTCCCCCAGTCGTGCCGGAGCAGCCCGGACCAATCAGCTTGCTCGCAGGGGGTGGCGTGCGGAGAGGGACAGCGGCTGCCGAGTGGGTGTTATGGGCCAGCGGCCCACTCAGCACACAGGGCGGCCGTGCCTGGGGCCCCGCGAGCTCTGGCCCGGTTCGGGGCTGCCGCCCCCGCTGCCCAGGTAACACGTTGTGGGTGGCGCATGTGGCCCACAACGTGTAATCAGTTGAGAATCACTCCCTGGGCGGACCATGGCCCGGCCCCCGGGGGTTCTCGCCGCTAGCCCGCGGGCCGGAGCCAGCCTCTACCCCCGTCAGCGGGGAGCCCGACGCGCTAGGAGCTGCCCTGCTAAGGGAAACACTGGTTCTGGCCGTGGGCGCGCCTGTATCTGCTCCTGCGTCTGTGTGCAGCCGCACGCTGGTACTGCAAAGCGAGGGCACTGCACAGCACTGGGAAAGAGCCTCTGTGATGATAGGATGAGCTGGACCGGGCCAGTGGACAAGAGCCAAGCAATGATGCCAAGGGTTTTGCTGATGTAAATAAAAATTATAAATTAATGGAGATATCCTATCTCCTAGAGCTGGAAGGGACCTTGAAAGGTCATCGAGTCCAGCCCCCTGCCTTCACTAGCAGGACCAAGTACTGAATTTGCCCCAGATCCCTAAGTGGCCCCCTCAAGGATTGAACTCACACCCCTAGGTTTAGGGGGCTAATGCTCAAACCACTGAGCTATCCCTTCCCCGCAATTATTATTGTGTATCGGCCCCTATGCATGAAGCACAACTATGGCTAGGGCCCTACCAAATTCATGACTGTGAAAAATGTGTCACAGACCCTGAAATCTGGTCTCTTGGGTCCTTTTACCCTCTACTATACCAATTTCAAAGGGAAGGACATTTTCTCTCAAAATGGGGGTCCTGAGCCAACAGGGTCAGTTAAAAGCCAGGAAGCAAAGGGTATGAATAAATGGATAGTTTTCACAATGGCGCGAAGTAAATAGCTGTGTCCCCCACAGATCTGTACAGGACCTCTGCTGTTCAATATGTCCATAAATGATCTGGGGAAATGAGATAAACAATGAGGTGGCAAAATTTGCAGACAACTACAAAATTATTCAAGATAATTAAGTACAAAGAAGAGTGTGAAGAGTTGCCACGGGATCACACAAGACTGGGTGACAAAATGGGCTTGGGGGAAAAAGAGGGGCAGGACCATGGAGGGGTGGAGTCTTGGGGGACCTCCCACTTTTAGGAAGGATCCGTTGCCCCAGTGTAAAATTATGACATTGGAAAACATAATCCCAACTATACATAAAAATGGGTGGAGTCTAAATTAGCTGTTACCATTCAAAAAAAGAGATCTTGGAGTCATTGTGGTTAGTTCTCTGAAAACATTCGCTCAATGTGCAGCAGCAGTCAAAAAAAGCTAACATTGTTAGGAACCATTAGGAAAGGGAGAGATAACACAAAAAATAAAATGCCACTATATAAATCCATGATACAGCCACACGTTGAGTACTGCATGCAGTTTTGGTTGCCCCATCTCAAAAAGGATATATTAGAATTGGAAAAAGTACAGAGAAGGGCAACAAAAATGATTAGGGGTATGGAACAGCTTCCATATGAGGAGAGATTAAAAAGACTGGAATTTTTCAGCTTAGAAAAGAGAAGAGATATATTAAAGGTCTATAAAATGACTGGTGTGGATAAAGTGAATAAGGAAGTGTGATTTACCCCTTCCCATAACACAAGAACCAGGGATCACCTAATTAAATTAATAGGCAGCAGGTTTAAAACAAACAAAAGGAAGGACTACTTCACACAAACTGTTAAACTCATTGCCAGGGATGTTGTGAAGGCCAAAACTATAACTGGATTAAAAAAAATAATTAGATAAATTAATGGAGGGTAGGTTACCAATGGCTATCAGCCAGGATGGTCAGGGATGCAACCCCATGGTCTGGGTGTCCTAAGCCTCTAACTGCCAAAAGCTGGAATAATTGCCCTGTTCTGTTCATTCCTTCTGAAGCATCTGGCATTGGCCACTGTTGGAAGACAGGATACTAGGCTAGATGGACCATTGGTCTGACCCTGTGTGGCCATTCTTATGTTATCTCACACAGGTGATTTTAATGGAAAAAATATCTTTATTTTGTGCCAGACCCACATCCTTCTAGATCTTAAGTGTCTAATAATTAGATGGGCAGAGACATCATCACAGACATTTACTTAAGATCTAGGACAGTGGTTGTGATAAATGAGGGGGGGTAGCTCCCTTTTATGGACACCCAGCCACTCAGTAGCTATAGAATCCTCCTTAGCAGCTGTACCCTAATTGCCTGACCTGTAAAGAGTTAAGAGAAGCTTAACCTGAGTTGGCACCTGACCAGGGGAACCAATAGGGAGGCTGTACCCTTTCAAATTGGAAAAAAGGGCTGGGGGTGAGGGTTTTCTTTTCCCTCTCTCGAACTAGAGAGAGGGAAAGGCAGCAACAGGCTGTAAGCGCTGAGCCAGGTGTGGAAAATCAGCATCATACCTAGAAACTCCTCATTTGGAATCCTAGATATGTAAATAGCACAGGAAAAGTTAAGACGGATGCAATTAGTGAACTTTTTGGTTGTTTTGGTTTGTGGATTCCTCTGTGCTAATCCCAGGTGCTTTTGTTTTGCTTGTACCCTTTAAGCTGAACCCCAAGAAAGTTATTTTTGGTGTTTAATCCCCAAAGGCTGAGTTTTCTTTTTTAATAAAATGTACCCTTTTAAAAAAAAAAATCCTTTGATTCCAAAGTCCTTAGACAAGGGGTTGGTCTGTGCTCACATTGCTAAGGCAACTGGTTGATATTTTATTCTCAAGCCTCCCTAGGAAAGGGGGTGAAGAGGCTTGTGGGGATAGGGATTCCAAGTGACCCTTCCCTGAATATTTGTGAAAATCACTTGGTGGTGGCAGCAATATCTGTCCAAGGCAGACTGTGCCTTGGAAGAGTTTTAACCTAAGCTGGTAGAAGATAAGCTTAGGGAGTCTTTCATGTGGGTCCCCACCTCTGCACCTCAAAGTTCAGATTTGGGGGGGGTATACCCTGATAGTGGTTCAAACTTTTTTTCATGGACCACTTGAACATTGCTGAGGGTCTCAGCGGACCACGGAATGATATTTCCAAATGTTGTTTGTACCGTTAGCTAACTATTGTAAAGCACTTTGAATAAAGGCGCTATATTAAAAAACCTTAATAAACAACTTTTTTTTTTCTACAGATAAAAGCACACAACTCATATTTTAATATCAGTAGTCTTACCTTTCTAATGTGATGGATGTGCCCTCTCTCCCCCACCGAGGCAGCCCGAGCTGGGGCTGGGAAGGAGGAGGGGTGTCTCTCCCCCGCCACAGCAGTCCCCGAGCTGGGGCTGGGAAGGAGGGCCGTTTCACCCCGGCAGCCGCAGCCCTAGAGCTGGGAAAAGTCGCCTCTTTCTCTGGCTGCGGCAGCCCTGGACATCCCAAATTGCCCCCACCCCCTCTTCTCACCCACTGCCCATCTCCTATTTCCCCCATCTCATTGCCCCCTCCCACTTACCCCCTGTTCCCCCCAAGGCCACCACCTCACCTTATATGTGCTTCTTCTCCAGGGACCAGGCACCTAATTGTGGCTCCACTAATTAGGTGGGTGGCCCTTCATTCTCTTGTATGTGGCTGCCCAAGCACGCACTGTAGAGGGAACTATCTGCAGACCACCTGAATGGAGCTTGTAGACCATTGGTGGTCCGCGGACCACAGTTTGAGAACCTCTGATCTAGGAGATGGGTATAGCACACCATAGAGGTATTTTTTCCATTGAAATCTCCTTTATGGGTATCTAAACAGGACAAGAACTGTGCAGCATTTTAGGGAAGGCAGTTCAGCCGCTGGCTGTAGCTGCTATCTCCCTTCTCCAGTCAACAGTGCAAATCAGAAAGGAAGGAAGAAGAAAGGCTAAACAGCACAGATGACACTTATCCAAGTCTCTGCTCATCATTTAATTTATTCAGTTTTATTTCATATCCAGGGTATTAATCTCCTGCAAAACTCAGGCTGTTAATCTTGATGCTCCAGGTGGCATTTTAAGGATCTGCAGAAGGTAAGTATTGGCTTCCTTGTGTACAAGGATTAATTTCAGCTCACTGATGATTATTAACAAACTCCCAAGGACAAGCAAGACATTTGTGAAAACTTGATGCCTCATACAGATGGCCATGATGAGATCTGGAAATATAAACAAATATTGGTGGCAGAAGGAAGGTGTTGTAGCTAAGACACATAACTAGCAGAGACCAGGGGTGAGATTTTCAAAAGCATCTGCCATGTTTATTACAGAGGTGCCCAAGAATCAAACAAGAAGGGGGCCCTATTGTGCTAGGCACTGTACAGACACAGAGTAAATGGCCCCTGCCCTTGTGAGCTTACAATCTAAATAGATGTGTGAGGGAGAGGATTTGGAGCAACCAACCAATCAGGAAAGGGCTGAGGAAGCCCTATCAAAACTGTAGAAAATCCTTTCAGTGGCCAAAGGTCCCTTCTTTGGTTGTTTCTGCTCCCACCTGCCTGGCTCCTCGCTGCAGTTTTCCCCCCACGGCACATGGCCAGGGGAAGGGAGACAGCACCTGCGGGCTAGTGCCCCTAGACTGCAGGAGGAGGGGAAGATGAGGAA